GCGATGGGGACAGCAGGGACAATGGCTTTGGGGACAGCTTCCCTCCATCCTGGGAACACCCTGCAGTGAGACACACCCCTCCAGCCCCCCATGGCCCYGGGGACACCCTGCGGTCCCCGAGGGGCTCTGCGGAGCCGGGGCTGTTCCCACCTCTGCTGCGGGCAGGGCAGAGGGAGGCCCAGCCCCTCGGGACAGGGCTCGCTGGAGGACACGACRTGCGGTTTGGTGTAGGATTCCTTCACTGCCGCCGTGAAGCTGCGGGTGGGGGGAATGTGGRGTGACGGCGGGTCCTGGGAGACCCYACCGCTGTCACCATSCCCCTCCCCAGTCCCCCCAGTCCTACCTCTCCCAGTAGCTGCAGACATTGGGGTCGCCGGGGCGCAGGGCAGCCAGGAGCCCGGCGTGCACCGCCAGCACCGCGGCCCGCAGCAGCATCCTGCACGGAGAGACAGACCACGGCTGCACCCCGCGCCTCCGCACATTCCCGCTCCCCACCCACCGCCCCCGGCCCCAGCTCCGGGTCCGACCTCCCTGCAGCGCTGGCTTTGCATTCCTCCATCGGGAGAAACAGCCCCGGCCCCTCTGCTCCCCGAGCGCTGCGCTGTGCCAAGGGGAAACTGAGGCACGGCCACTCCGCAGCCTGGGTGGCCTCASGCAGCCTCATCCCAGCATCCTGAGACGCTTTTTCTTCATCACCCCGAACTGTCCTGGCAGACCCCATGCCAGAGGTGGGAACCCGGGGTGTCGGGGCGGGGTTCGGCACGGCAGCTCCAGCCCCTGGCGCGGCGCCGCACGGCCCCGCTTCAACCCGCTCTGTGTTTATTCCCAGCGGTGTTTCCTGGATCCATCGGCTTCTTGCTCAACCCAGAGAGGGTCCGGCTCTGCCGGGAGCAGCTCCAGGAGCGCTGCTAGCCGGAGGCCGGGCTGGGAGAGCCGGCGAGCCCCCCAGCCCCCCGTGCCGGGGGTGCTGTTTACCGGGATGAGAGTTTTAGGGCAGGATTGCCGTGTGCCAAGGAGGAAACAGAGGTTTCCTGGTCAGCACAGCTGGATTTACGGGGGCTTCCTTGCTGCTCCAGCTGTAGRACACCCCAAAGGTGCTGCCCCGGCRGCTCCCTGGGTTCATCCTCCCCCTCACCAGAGCCCGWGCTGCGTTTTGGGGCCCCAGCATCCGGTTTTGGGTGGAAAAATTGTTTAGTGTGAAAGTTTCCCCCGTTTCCCTTCAACTCCCGGCAGTGAGGAATTAATTGCTCATCCGCTGCCAACATTCCCTCCCATRGACCCTGCRGAGCAGGGAGAGCCAGGGGAACCCCGAGCCCTCCCCAGTGCCCCGCTCATTCCCAGCCTCATCCCCCGCTCCAGGAATATGGGGGGGAACGGGGGAGGGGGTCCCCGCATTGCTGG